GGCCTGGGCTTTTCTTTGTTGGTAGGTTTTTAATTACATTTTCAATTTCATTGATTGATACTGGTTTATTTAGGATTGTAAAATCTTCTTGATTGAGCTTTGGTAATTCATATGTATCTAGGAATCTATCCATTTCTTCTGCATTTTCTATCTTATTAGAATACAAGTTTTCAGAGTAGTTATAGATGATCTTCTGGACTTCTGCAGGGTCCGTTGTCACTTTGCCCTTTTCATTCCTAATTGCATGGATGTGAATCTTTTCTTTCCTTTTTTTGATAAGGTTGGATAAGGGTTTGTCGATTTTATTTAATGTCTCAAAGAGCTAACTTTTTGACTCATTGATTCTTTATATTATTTGTTTTAGTCTCCAGTGTAATTAATTTCTGCTCTGATCTTTATAATTTCCTCCTTTGTATGAGCTTTTGGCTTAGACTGCTCCTCTTTTTCTAGAAGTTTGAGGTTCACCTTGAAGTTGTTTATTTGCACTTGCTGTTTTCCTGATATGGGCATTCACTGCTATGAATTTCCCTCTTAGGACAGCTTTCATTGTGTCCCATAAGTTCCGGTATGTTGTATTGTTATCATTGTTTAATTGTAGAAACTAATTTCTTCTTTAATTTCATCTGTGACCCATTGGTTGTTCAGGAGGGTGCTATTTAATTTCTATGTGTTTATGAAGTTTTTATGGCTTCTTTTGCTGTTGATTTCCAATTTCGTTGCACTATGGTCTGATAATGTGCATGGGATAATTTGAGTTCCTTTGCATTTACTTAAGCATGTTCTGTGACCTGGTGATGTGGTCTGTTTTGGAGACTGTCCCATGTGCAGCTGAGAGGAATGTGTATTCTGATGTTGTGGGGTAGAATACTCTGTAGACATCTAAATCCACTTGTTCAAAAGTTTGTTTCAGTTCTAATATTTCCTTGTTGACTTTTTATCTAGTTGATCTGTATTTTTCTGATAGTGAGGTATTGAGATCCCCCAATACAACTGTATTAGTGTTTATTTGATTTTTCATGTTTGTTATTATTTGTTTTATATATTGAGTGCACTGGTATATATATATATATATATATATAATCTCCAGTTAACCATGATTAAAAAAAGATCTATAGCCAGGCATATTATAGTCAAGATTCCAGAAATTCAAGATAAGAAATTCAATTTTGAAATACAATTTTGTGGGGTATATCAATCTGGGTTGGAGGTTGTTTTCCTTTAGGACTTGAAATACTTCAGTGCAAGTTCTCCTTGACTTGAGGGTTTATGCTGAGAAGTCAGCTGTGATTCTGATGGGTGTTCCTTTATAGGTGATTTGTTTCTTTTCCCCAATAATCTTTTTGTTTTTTTGGTACCAGGAATCGAGCTCAGGACCTAGCACTTGCCAGGCAGGCACTTGTTCCACTGAGCTATATCCCTGGCCCTTCCCTAATAACTTTTAATATTCTGTTCTTGTGTTGAATTTCTGGAATCCTTGACTATGACATGCCTGGCTGTAGTTTTTTTTTTTTTTCATCATGGCTAATTGGAGTTTTATATGCCTCATTTAGTACGTATGTCAAATTCTTTTTCTCTAACAGGGAAATTTTCTGCTATGACTTCTGTGAACATTTTTTTATGTCATTTATAGTATCTCCTGCTTTTGTGTTGACTTCAGTCAATCTTAAGTTATTCTCCTTTGTCTTATCTAGCAGCTTGTGGTCCCTGCTATTTTTAAGAAATCTTCCCTTTCATGATCACTAACTGCAAGACTGTCTTCCATATCTGAGATCCTGGCCTCATAATCTGCTGTGGATAGTTTCAGTGGAATTTTTATTATCCTGGATAACTGCTGGAATCTGCCTTATGGATTCCATGTCTTTCTTATACTGAGCATTCATGGCTTCCATAATTTTCTTAAGCTCCCCTGTATATATATATATTTTTTTGTCTGTATCTGCTCTAGAATCGCTAAGCATGGTTTTCATTGTGGACACTATCTCTGCAGTTATCTGAGAAATTATTTCTGAGTTGATTTTTTTTCTAGAGCCTCATTCAATTGTTCTGTTGTTACCACTTCTGAGAGTCCAGGTGGGCAGCTTTTGGATTGTCCCACCTTGCTATCCCTTGGGTTTGCCTTTGGTGAACTGGATGTCTGGGGTTGTGTCTTGTTTGTGTCTTCTCATTTTTCTCTTTCTTTTTTCCTTTTCTTTCTTTCTTTTTAATTCTTGGGATGATGTTTGTAAATTCCCTATGTTGAGTTGCTTTACTGCTAGTATTTAGAACTCTTAGGAAATGACTGCTTTACCTAGTTAGCTGGTTTTTGATTTTTTGAGTCTCCTGTAAAATCCTACCTCTTCAATTTGTTGGGGCTGAGAGGTTGCTACCTGTTTGGCCCAGCCCCTGGTTCTTTAACACTGTGCCATGTATTTTCTGTGACCTTTAGTTAATCTCAGTCTTGGAATACCAGGAAGAACAGCTGGTTAAAACAGTTATGTTACTTTGGCTATAGCAGTACCAATGACAATAACATGAAACAGCCTAGAAAATAACAAACTGAAGTAACCATTAATTTGCCACCTTTAACCATATGAACTATATTTGTAGTTATATAACAAAATCTAAAACAAACCAGAAAATTATACACAGTATACAAGTCCTTAATATGTCAATTTTGCCCTTAGGGGTTGAAATTTAAAATGGGTTAGGGAGAAAATAGAGAAGTAGAAGAAGAGGAAGAGATTAGAAGTAAGGCTGCAGGTCAAAGGTCGGTCATGGTAACTTTGGGAAACTGGTGCAGAAGACTGGAGGGAAAGAGAAAATGAAGAGCTAAAAAGAAGAACAGAATAGGTCCACAGAGAAGCTACATGTCATGTTCACATTCGTATAAATACAAGTCCAAACAATGAAGGAGAAAAGAAACCCAGAAAACAAACAAAAAAAAGAAAAACAAAAACTACAAAAAAAACACAGAGAAAAAAAGTCCACTTCCAGGTTTGTTTCTGCTGTCCTTGGTGAACGGCGTGTGCAGACAGAGACCTGATCTGTGTTGATTTATCCTAGCAAGCCAGCAGTAGCTTTGTGGGGGCGGTAGCAGATAGTCTCAGGCTGTACTCTCTGGGGGCCTGTAGCCATCAGTGCACCTTCTGTGCACCTGAGCCCAGCTGGGAGCTAGGAGCCAGGAGCCAGCTGCTCTGAGTTCTGAGCTCAGTGAGCTTCTCTCCAAAACGGTTCCAGGCCAGTTGCTCTCTTGTATGGGACAGCCAGGCCCTCAGCAGTGCAGTCATTCACTTCTGATGCACCCCTCCACTGCTGATTCTCACTGTGGAGACCTTTGGGGTCAACAGTATTCACTGTGTGTTGACAGCTTTGGACCACTCCTCTCAGGCAGAGAGTCCTTTGTCAGGGAGAAGGTGCCATTGGGTACCTCCTTCTTGTTCATTGAACTTTCTCTCTTCACTCTCTGTGGGCTTTAGTTCTTGTCTCAGTTCCTTCCTGAGTCCAGGGTGCTCACTTCCCTCCTCCTTGTGTTCCCAACTTGTGATATTCCAGCGTCTGGATGGCAACACTCGGAGAGGTTCTTTCTCTGCTGTTTATTGCTCGGTCATCTTGTCCCTCCCCCCAGTACAGGAGAAAGTGAAAGATCATGTTGGTGTACAGTGAGCCAGAGAGAGTTTCAGGGTTTAGGCTCAAAAACTATTTGTTTTTGATGGAATTAACTCAGGTTTTCCATGAGAAGTACCTCAGTCCCTTCTGTGGGCAGTGTCTACAGTGACCTAAGGGCCTCCCCCTAGACTCTATCTTTTTTGAAGGCTTCCTTACCTTTACATTACAGAGCTGACAACCAAGCTCTCAACACATGAATGCCTGGGGGGAACAAACCTTGTGCAAACCATAGCAACATAAATATCTATGTTAAACTTTAATTTACAGACTAGTACACAGTCAGTGATTAACAGCAGTTGAGTTTGACACAGTAGCGTACACCTGTAGTCTCAGCTACCTAGGAAGCTCAGGCAGAAAGATCGTGTGAGCCCAGGAGTTCTTGGCCACCTGGGCAACAAAATGAGACCCTGTCTCTTTAATATAAAGGAAAAATTTAAATGTAATTTACCACAGCTCTTCACAGTCTCACCATACATTTTTTAAAAATTTTATTGCAAACTGTCATCTGTCCACTTAAGGGAAGCATTTACAGCTTTTCTGTGGCATGTATTAATTATCAGCATCACTATTGTTGTATTTTGGTGTCCTTAAATAAAATGAGGGTGATTAAGTTAAAATAAGGGTTATTCGGACAGAAGCATTGCAAATGTATGACAATTTAATGATAGCTGATGTGGCTGCTAAATGATTAATATATACATCATAGATATGCTAGACAAGGGGATGACTCATGTCTTGAGAGGAAGAGCACAACAGTGTGAAATTTCATTGTGCTACTTAAGTGTATAGTTTACAACTCACAGATTACTTCTGGAATTTTCCATTTCATATTTTTGTGATGTGAGGGTAATTGAAACTGTGGAAAGTAAAGTTATGAATAGTGGGGAGTACTGTAAATGTTAACTGTCATCATAATTATGTTAGAATGATTTTATGGGTTGGTCACACATAGATTCTTACCCTTAGAGTTTTTCCAAAAATTCATGCCAGTGTCATATTCCTGGAGAGTAGGTCCTGACATCTGTAACTCTAAAAATACTCTTAGATAGTTCTGGTATTCACCAGCAACTGAAGGTGCAGATTCTGTTCTACAGCACAAAAGGAGACTCTTCTAGTCCTGGGCATCTGGCTTGTGGTCCACCAACATGGAGTCATATCCCCCCGTGCACAACCCAGTGCACAAATATTCGGTGTAGATCTAGTTAGGGGATGGTGGCATAGCAGACTCAAAAGTTGTTATGCTTGATGGTATAGTCATTTATGATATGTCATGAACCAGAAGTTGGTATTTGTCACTTATCTGTTTGATAGGGTATTTGACTCAGTAACTGGCTAAAGCATCACATAACTTGCAGGTCAGAAGTTTCGTGTGTCCAAATAATGGCACCATTTCTGTGCTATCTTTATTGTGAACCCTCTCAATTACAAGAATATGCTCACCTTCGACTACCCCTGCTGAAAGTCCTACTTGAACCTCGGGTTGTCTGTGATAAAGCACAGCCATCAGTATTGGAACAACAGATACTTCAGCTGTGTTGTGACATGATTCCATGTTTGCAGGTAAGGTCTTTCATTTTCCTTCCTTAATATAGCAGCACCAGTAAGTGTTGATTATTATTATCATACATAAAGTAGTTCTAGAATCTACATGATTTGGAAACGTAGTCCCAGTGCTCTTTTGGAGAAGATAAAGGAACTAAATTTAGATTTAACATTAGTGTATACTATGTTAACTAAATTCACAGAAGTATAAATCAACTCAAGTCATGTTGGGATCAGTAGGAATGAGAACTCCCTTTTATTTAAGAAAAAATTATTAGGGGAAAGGTTTTGAATTATGCTTTTCCTTGGGCTAGATACTGTGAAATATGCAGGTTAAAAAACACTTCCACAAAAAGCTTTAAAAAGGTTATTCTCTAGGCAGATACAGCTGTGAGAGTGCTAAGCTTAGCAAGCTGAGGGCTACATTAGAGTTTCCTCCTGTTCCTTTATGACACGAGTGATGGCCCTGATGGAGCCTCCTCTTGAGAAGCCCACAGTAGAATGAACAAGTTGGGAAAAGTATATAAAGCCATAACTGAAAGTAGAAGGATAAAAGGTGGTTAACAGAGGTATAGATAAATGCTGAGGGAGTTCTGAGGAGAGAGAAGTTTGAGGTAATGTCTACAAATGCAGATTAAAAAATTTGAGTTGCCATTGTGTTGTGATTTTAGTGTAGTGACACATTTATCAGGTATTCCATCCCATAATTGGGTTAGCTATTTGCCTGAAATCTGAGCACCATGCTGCTCTGCTGATGGTGGGATTCTATGAATATATTTCAAAGTGATCACTTAAGTCACAGATGACTTGTTCTAAGTATGTGTTAGCAAGGAGGGACTAGAGTGAGTGTTTCCTTTGTGACTCATAAATAGGCTTTTCTGTAATCAAGGCAAAGAAAAGTTAATTAAAAGGAATTCTCCTGTGGCTTTTCCAAAGCTTTTGTTTCGTGTAGGCAGTAAAGCAATGTATAGGCAGAAAATCTTGAATGTTTATTTACACCATGCCCATATTACCTTGTTCTATGTTCACTGGTAAATATTTGCCTTCTTCTTTATGCAAAAAATACTAGTAGGAATGAACTCTGGAATATTTCTGGAATTTATGTGTTAATATAACTGAGACAGACATGAGAGAAAACCACCTGGAACTAGTGGAGCTAGTGACATAAATACATTTAGCCACTGTAACAGACCAACTCTTACCAAAATAAGGAAACCTGGAGTCTGAAGGAATCTTAGAGGTAGCCCATCCAGTTCTCCACTTATCACAAATATTTTCTGTATACTGTCTGGTGGATGACATTCTATAACTAATTGGATATTTTGGTAATAAGTACATTTATTTTGCAAGGCAGCCTGTTTTTACCAAGTACTTCTGTTGACTTTCATTTAAAAAATCATCCATAAATCTCTGTTCATCCCATAACAAAATAAACTTTTAAAAAGCCCATCTGAATCCTACTTTGGTTTTCCTGTCCTCTTCCCATTCGTTCCTTTTCCCCAGTCTTTGTCCCTTCTCTTTCCTTCATCAGTTTCCTTCCTTCTCCGTAGGAAATAAATAATTTCCAGACTTTTCAATATCCCTTGCTAGAAATTATCGACTTTATTAGTGCTCAAAATGTGCTACTATGAAATGTTATTCTTGGAGCTGAATACAGGGCTGAGTGCTGTGGAGATGATCTGTTTTATACTAAGCTCCGGGATAGAATCACATTTTAGAAAAAAAAATTTTTTAAGAAAATAGTCATACCATCTTATTGCTTTATGATTGCTACATGATCAGTGGAACTCCTGTTTATTTTTCTTCTAATACCAATTACTTTTCCATTTTATATTTGTGGAATGTTTTTTTCGTTTTAGTTGTGACTTTTGTCATTTCACATTATACATTGCACATGATCTCTTTCTACATAAAGATAGCACATTGCTTCAAAACATTTTAAAGAAACATTTTATAATGTTAAATAGTAGAGAGCCTTTAATGTTGACTTCCTGAGGCTCTTTTGAAGAGCTTTAGGCTTTTCTACTGTTTGCAGAAAAGCAAAATAATTTAGCTACTGAACTACTCACATTTTTAGTTAATAATATTTTCTGCCACTCTCTTGCCCTTGATCTTTTAATACCCCCTCCCCTTTATCTGCTGTGAACTAATTTTTCTCTCTGTGTATAACTCAGAGCAGTTCTGTGTTATTTTGGTGGTAACCACTGGTAAAACATACGCTGATCAACTGTAGGCTTTCCTCTTGAATTTAACAGACACAAGGATCTTGATTAAAGCAGATGGTGTATTGTTTATAATCTCTAGGAAATGCAAGTGTGTCTGTGAGCAGGACTGTACCTTTAATACCAACCCAGAACAGCTGGGTTGAATCAAATTACGATTTTTCAGAGCACCCGAGTCTTTCCTATATAATACATTAGCCTGTTGAGAAGAAGCTTTATCATTTGAATATGGTCTTTCATTACATCTTCTAAGAATGGTGCTGTTTGATACTCTCAGTTCAGGCTGCTTGAGCAAATATGTTGCCGATGAGGGTTTACCTGTGCATTAGAATAAAATCCTGATCCTTACTGCCAGGTATCTCTGTTGGAACTGTAGGAAGGAGAATTTACAATCAGTTCTTAATTTTCCTCAACACTTTCCCTCACTTTCATGCGCACTGTCATATAATTTGTTTTAAGACATCTGCATTCAGGGAAGCTAAAAATTAACAAAAAGAATTTGTGCCAGGCAGTATTAAAAAAATAATAGGAAATTGTATTTTGGTTAGAGAGAAAAGGCAGAATTGTGTATTTGTTATGTAACTTGTTCCATCTCCTTTAAGCTTTTCTTTATAGGATTAGAGAAAGTTATTTTGTTAAAAACTTCTTATATAGCTTTAAATTATCCTGTCATTTGTATATTACTTTAATATAATATAATGGCTTTATTAAACAGATGAAAGACATGATACAGACAACAGAAGCAATGCTGTTTATCAAGGAAATATACTTAAGCCTTTCGCGTCATCCTGTTTTCTGGAAAATTCAGCTTTCCCAGCTGACACTTCAGCTGTTGTGTGTCTGTGAAGTCAGCTTAAAGATAACCGGGGAATGCTCATCTTTAATTCAGCTTTTAGAGCACAGTGTTGAACTTCTGAAGGAGGTAAGGATAGTGAGAAATTTCAATGTGTCAGTCGTCGTTTAATTGATTATTTCAGTAAGTGGGTGCTCACGCTCATTTAGTTTATTGCTTATCAGAGGTGATTTGATCTCATATGATTAGATCATACTACTAGTATTATAAAAATGAATTGTTAAATACTCTTTGCAGCATCAGTTACAGATACACCACTTTTTTAAAAAATATTTTTGTTTGTGGGACACAAGTATTGAGCAATTACTATGTGCCAGGCCTTATAAAATACATAGTTGAAAAGAAATATTGTGTGACCTGAAGAAACTTACAGACATGCAAATAAGCAATTCTAATACCATAAAATACTTTTATGGGACTATATTTAAACTATCATAGGAGCTCCGGTAAAGGGAAGTACTGTAGTGCATGAGTTGAGATTTGAAGACCAAATAGGAATTTACTTGCTACAAGCCAGAGGTTGGAAAGAGCATGCTGGCTGGGAGAATATCACGCACATAAAGATATGACCTTCTCAGGAAACAAGAGCATTACTTGGAGTGTTGCTGCAGGTTTTAGGTGTGAGAGGTAAGGTTAGGTCTGTCTCACATGCCACATAGATGAGTTTACATTTTGTCTTCCAGGCAGTGTGGCATGCTGTTGAAGACTGTTCGTCAGAGAGGTCCTCATTTCTTGTGGGAAGGTCATTCTGGTGGGAAAATGGAGGAGGGCTTCAGATAGGGCAACATTAATATGGCGTGAATAGGGAGATAAATGAGGAGGATGGCTTAGGGCTGCCATAACAACGTGCTACAGACTGAGTGGCTTAAACCACTGAAATTTTTTTCTCACACTGTTTAAGTAGTTGGCTTCTTAATGTAAGCCAGCTGATATGGTACCAACCAGAGATTCCAGTGTTTGAGTGTATGAAAGACTACTTGCTTACCTGTTGTAGAAATAAGAGCATCTAAAGTAAGACTTAAGAAAAACTTTGTGGCTACTAGATTATCCTTACGACTCCATATTAGCTCTGCAGTGTTCTTGGTATAAAAAAAAGCATATTTGTCTCAGAGATTTACTTAAAATTTTATAACTAAATATGTCTGTATGTTGCTCAGATAAATGTAATCACTGTAAACATCTATGAGTTGGGATTTTGTTTTTATTTTGAAATGGTAGTTTTTTTGTTTACATGCTCATTAAAAGCTAAATACTGTTTCTGTTAAAAAACAATCACTAGGTAGAGTTTAACCAAAAATTCAAATGCCTGGAACCTGTCCCTGGAAATACAGTACTGCATTAGCAGGTCTGAATGAGAGTAAAAAATCTGCATTTTAAGTTACTACATTCAGGTGAATTTAAAACGTTTATACTTTTGCATATAAAGTAAATGCCCTTGTAGCCACCTCACAGATTAAAAAATAGGACTCTTACAGCCACCCTAGAAGTTCTTCACAAAGCGCACTCCTTAGCTTAATCTCTTACGTTTCCTGACTATCCTGACTTACTATAGTAATCATTTACTTACACTTCATTATCATCTAAGTATCTCTAAACACCATAATATACTTATGGGGGATGTGTGTGTGTGTGTGTGTGTGTGTGTGTGTGTGTGCGCGCGCGCGCGCCTTCCAGGTGTCTTTTAAACTTAGGGTGGTCCCTTTTCATTTCTTTCCCACCTCTTTTCTTTCTTGCAGTTTAGATACTGGAAAAACATGGCTTATGTGAGCTACAGAGTTTTCTAGATTCTGGATTTTACTGATTGCATTCTTATAGTGCCCTTTAATGTTTCTTCTTTCAGAGGTAGTTAGTTCTAGGGGCTCGAGCCCATTGGACGGTTTTATTTTGTATTTTGTTTCGTGACTATAGGGAGTGGTATATTCTTTCATACAGAGATGTGTCATGTATGTTGCTTTTCTATTTATAATGTTAGTAGCTGTAGATTCTCAAAGCTTTATTATCATTGGGGGTTGCAGAAATGGTGATGTTTTAATTCTGTCATTTTTCTTCTTTTATTAGCTGGAGTATTTCTATAAAAAGAAACTCTCCCTTGTTTACCATTTGGTTATCCAGTGTTGGTGTTTGTTTTTTTTTTTTTTTTTTTTTTGTTTTGTTTTGGTTTTCTCCGGTACCGGGAACCGAACTCACGACCTTGTGCTTGCCAGGCAGGCGCTTTTGCCGCTGAGCTAAATCCCCAGCCCCTAGTGTTGGTGTTTGTATAGGGAACAGGGTAAATATATTGCTCTTTCCATTCCCTTTATTTACTAGTTTTTAAAAGTATCTGTGAGTACAAACGCATAGATTTAAGGGTATTTCATCCATGGTAGGTATTGTCCCTACCAGTGGTTAAATTACTCTATTTTTGGCCAGTCGGAATCTATCTCATGAAGTTGGCTTTTGTGTCCAAATTTAAAAAATGTTTTTGATTCTAGAATCCCAGAATACTAATTGCATTTATAACAGTGAAAAGGATCTCTGTGAGAGGTTCTATTTATGCTATCTCTCCTTTATTTAATAGTGACAATGTTAGAAGGAAATGATAAGTAGAATTGGTAAAATACATTGGTGTTAGAGATTTCCTGCCACCCACTTTCATCCCAGTGTACCTGAGGTAACCCCACCCCTAATGAGGAAAATTAATCTGGAAACATTTAGCCTTTCAGGCCTATACAGCACATTAATTTCATATAAAGTAAAGTAGAATAAAGCAGTCTTAATGCATACTTTGAGGTTATACATATTTTCGTCTTCCACTAGGTTATCAGCTGGATATTCAGTTTTAACATTGCATTCACTTTTCTTATCACCTCTATTCTCTTCCTACTGTTATATCAGACAAATATCATTGTACATTCAGTGGATTTATTTCTTAAAGTAGATTAGTTTTGGTAGATTTGTGCTATTAGTTGCTAATTCTGATGATCAGATCTTAAAATCCTTTCTGTTTCAAGCAAAATACATGTACTCTGATGGGCAAAATTAAGCAAAAATGAGACAGTTAGTTAGGAGGAGACTAGGTTGCTCTTGATGTGAAGGAAGTCTAAATGTTCTGGCTTTAGAAAGATTAGGAACCTGTAGTATCTAAGACAGAGGATAAGGTAGGTAGCCCACCTCTGGCCCTGAGGGAATGTGTGAGCTGGCCAGTCTTCTTCATTTTGTCTGCTACAGTATATGGGCTTTTTTACACCTTGTTTTTTTTTTGTTGTTGTTGTTGTTATTGTTATTTTTCCTACTGGGAATCAAACTTGTGACCTTGGGCTTGCCAGGTAGGCGCTTATGCCACCAAACTATATCCCTGGCCCTACACCGTATTTTCACTTTCTTTTTAAATATTTTTCCATGACTAGGCTATATATTTTTTTGAGAAGAGAACTATCTTATTTACAGTATCTCTTTCTCTGGACCCAGTATATATACTTAGTGCCTGGTAGATAGATGATGTTCAGCAATATCTTTCATTTGAATTGAGGATAGAATCTGTGTTGGTTTGGGGCTTATTGTGCAAGGTGAAACAGTACAATAGAGGACACATATTCTGTATGATTATTTATAATAGTCACTTAAAGAATGCTATACAAAAGAGTGCAGAAAATCTGTCTGTACTGTAAGACCAAGGAATCCAGCTGAGGGCCTAGGTGTCGCGGATAATGTCCTACTTGAGTCCAGCTGAATACCTAGAGCCATAACAATGCCGCTCACGAATCCAGCTATAGGCCCAGAGCCCATAACAATATCTCACGCAGGCCTGTTTCATGGATCTGCACTGGGAAGGCCCAAAGGTCAGTGGTGGAATCTAGAAGGTCTGTGCCAGCAGGATGAAGAATCTATGCTAGCAGGCTGAGGGATTTGCACTGAAGTCAGGAAGACGCTCAGAAGAACCAGAGCTCCCCTGAAAGGTACCACAGTCATTCTCAGCAATAGTGAGGTCCCAAGCTCCTCCAATGATCAAGATGGT